ATGCCCAAGGGTCAGGAGTTCAAAACCAGCCTGAGCAAGAGCGAGACCCCGTCTCTACTATAAATAGAAAGAAATTAATTGGCCAACTGATATATATATAAAAAAAATTAGCCGGGCATGGTGGCACATGCCTGTAGTCCCAGCTACCGGGAGGCTGAGGCAGAAGGATCACTCGAGCCCAGGAGTTTGAGGTTGCTGTGAGCTAGGCTGACGCACGGCACTCACTCTAGCCTGGGCAACAAAGCGAGACCTCTGTCTCAAAAAAAAAAAAAAAAAAAAAAAAAAAGAAAGGGATTATCCTGACTTGTTTATAAAATCACCACATTTTTCTAATGATTTCTCATATGCAGCAAATGCTCTTTTCAGATATGTGTGTATGCACGAGGGCACATGCATGTGCCTTTATTTACTCTGGTATTATATTTTAGAATTTTGAATTCCGTAACTTTTTAACATGAATTTGTTCTGGGGAAATAAAGCTGCCTCACTTTTATTAGTCTTTATAGGAGAAAAAGAGCAACACTAGAAAAGAGGGCACAGAGTTTATGTTTTATAGTAGGCTGTAGCTAGGGAAATGTTATGGCTTGGGAAATTGTTGAAAGCAATGTAAAGTTAGAATTTGTCATTCTTGCTTTTAGTTTCATTGGTGAGGAGTCTGTGGCAGCTGGGGAGAAATGTGTCTTAACGGACAATCCCACGTGGATCATCGACCCTATTGATGGACAACTAACTTTGTTCACAAGTATGTTTTACAATTTTTAATATTATTATTGGTATATTAACTGGTTGGCTTTTAGAGCACTCTGTTGAGGAACATATACACTTTAGAGAACTGTGTAATTTGTGCTGCTTTATTCTAAGAAAGTCTATTAGAGTGAGTTAGTAGAGCCAAATGCACTATGCAGACTTTCACCAGCTGTGGAGGAGGGGAGAAATATTAATTGTGTGAGATTCTGTCTTGTGCTACAAAGCACCCTATTCACCGTTCTTTTTCTCACTGTTGGAGCCATGTAAAAATGGAAGTAAACGACATTGCTGCTTTGGGATCAGTGAAAAAAAGGAGTTCCCTCCTGGAGTGTTGTCACCCAGGATATGGAATGAGTTGAGTGCAAGGAGCAAACAGGATTCAAAAGTGCAGGGTGATAGGATCAACAGACTTGGGCTTCAATTCTGGCCTTTTTTATTGTGGCCTTGCTTGAGCAATCCGCCCGCCTCGGCCTCCCAAGAGCTAGGATTACAGGCGTGAGCCACAGCGCCCGGCCTAGGATAATCCATTTCTTCAAGAGGAAGAGTCTAATACCCTTTGCCTTGAGTGTGAGCTAGGCTTAGTGGTTTGTTTCTAACCAATAAAGTGGAAGTAACAGTGTAAAATGTTAGAGGGTGGTTCACAAAATGGCCCTGTGGTTTGCATCTCATTCGCTCTGCTTCTCCCTCCCTTTGTCACCCACCCCTCACTCTGGAAGAAGCCAGCTGCTATGCTGTGGGCTGCTCTGTGAAGAGGCCCACACGGCAAGGAACTGAGGGAACCCACCAGCAGACAATCCTCGAGGGGCTGAAGTGTGTCAGCAATCACACAGAAGAGTGACCCTTCAGCCCCAGTCATGCCCTGACCACACTTTGACTATAACTTCATGGGAGCCTTGGCCAGAACCATGCAGCTAAGCTACTCCCAATATTCTGTAACCCCAGGAAACTGTGAGATAACAGATGTTTATTGTTTAGAGCTCTACATTTTTCAGATAATTTGCTTTGCAGGAATATATGACTAATATAGACAATATTAAATAATCAATGAGAAAGCAAATCACCCAAACCACTGTATGTATACCTGCCTTCCTAAATTATGCTATGCAATAAATCGTATGGAAATTCCAAAAATGGTGTCTGATTCACTGGTTTTCTTCTTTCCTGTTTTCTTTTTACTTTCCTTTATTTAACACTGAACTGTCCCAATACATATTATCATGATCTTTTCTCTTTTTCTCTTAGCTAAAAGCCTTTTTATTGGGAGGAAATATATTCAGTCACAGCTTTAAATATATTTTCTTCTCAATGGCTAAAAAGACCAAGAATGACCAATGGCATGACTAGAAAGAAGTACAGAATGACAGTGCTAACATCTTGAAATGATGACAATGTTTCTGCTAAATTTCCATGCCTGTAAAAGAGCCCTGAATTAGGATTTTCTTTTAAACTCACTAAAGCTACTACCACTATACCATATAGACAAGTTTACAATAAAGAGAATAAAGTCGAACTTTGAAATGATGCCAATGGCAAACATTTGTCATGTTGGCTCCCCAGCACCTAAACATTCCTCTTACTATGAAGGAATCCAAATATTCCCTCTCCCCTGCTCCCTGGCAACTTGAGCATAGGCAAACAACCTAAGTTCAGAAACCACATGTTCCTGTCCATAATTTATAATCACAAGTTAATGAGGTCAAGATATGAGAATGATTAAAAGTATTCAAAACCATCACAGGGGTGAGGCCACCAGCGGTCCTAAGAGATGGCTCTGGTGTGATCTATATGTACACTTCGTCCATCCCATGGTTCCTGCCTGAGCTGCCCAATACACTCAACATTAACTGCTTTTCAGCTTAAGTTAAAGTCGTTTGCTATGTCTAGAACCAAAATTCTTGCCTAATATTGACTTCAACCTAGGTTTCATTTTATCATTTGAAATCGAATAGGGAAATACCTGTGAGATGGGTACTTTTCCTTTATGGAAGAGATAAGCATTTTTTCAATTTTTTGGTCAGTTGCAGTTACCAAATCAACTGGAGAACTTTTCAGCATAACATTCTTTTCGTCTTTGAGAGCTTCACGGACCACCTAGAAGGATTTTTTTTTTTTTGTAAGCAAACAGAAAAGGCATAAGTAATTGTAAATCAAACAAAAAGATAAAATATAGAAATTGTTTAAGATATCCAATCTAAGCTAGATGCTGTGGCACACGCCAGCAGTCCCAGCTACGTGGGAGGCTGTGGCAGGAAGATTGTTCTAGCCCAGGAGTTCCAGAACAGCGTGGGCAACAAAGCAAGATCCCATATCACAAAAACAAAAACAAAACAAACATTCAACTATCTTAAATGATATTCTTAAAAGATATCCTGAAAAATGTTTTACAAATATGTCTATAGAATATGCCTTTAATGGCTGTGACCTCTAGGTACAAAATTATATAATGTTACATCTTATTTTAGATTCACAACAGCCATCACAAAAAGTTAAATGATTTAAAATTGAAGTATTCATTCTATTTAAAGGGTACAGTAAAATGAAAAAAACATAGATTAATCAAAACACACATTTTATTTAACAAGACAATCTCACACTGTTCACACTCATCACATTATAGCTGACAAAGTTTTAGCTCATACCTCTCCAGCTTGTCTTGCTAGGGTTACTGCATAATCCATGCATTCCTGCCACTGATCTGCCATCTTCTAAAAATATTTAACACATATCAGCACCAAGTAGTTACAATTCTCTAAAAGTCTTAATTATAAAATAGTTATTTCACAATTTCACAAAGGCATCTAAATTATCAACAGACTTTCATTTCAGGATTCACACCCCACCCCCACTCTAGAGGTCCATTTTTTTTCCCAATGGTCACTCCTAGGCACAGTAAAAAAATTTTTTTACAGAAATTACTTCTACTGTAAAAATATTTTCATAATAAAAAATATTCCATGAAATTGTCTCCCAGTCTGTCCAAAGCATATCACAAAGAAAAAAAAAAACAGCAATAACACTGGTTTGAAGAATGAAGAAGAAGTTTTAAAGATAGGTCAATGTTTGGGTGGAAAATAAAGTAAAAATAAGAGAAAGAACACTGGAAATATAGAAATAAAAGAAGTTTGAAAGGAAGCAGCAAAAGGCACAACATGTACTAATCTGAATACCAGGCAGTTAGGTGCTTTACACAGATTTTTCTTTTTAAGAAGATTGTAAAGATAACAACTTAAGGCTCAGAAATGAAGAATAATTTGCTCAAGAATATACAGAGGACACAGTCAGAATTTGAACTCAATTCTGATTTTAATGTCCATTGTTCTTTCTCTTATCACATTGCGAGAAAAAAATTCCAGGTCCTCAAAAATAATAGACAAAGACAATTTATTTCCCTGAGATTCAGAGAGGGGAACAAAACCCCGTATTTTTGGCCTATGAACTCTCAAGCTTTTCACTGACTTCTGAAGACTAAAATAACTCACCACTGACTTGACCACACTCTACAATCTGTACCTGGCACAGCGAAGCTTTTGAAGCAGACTCAAAAACTGTGGTATCATTTATGAAGCAACCCTAATTTCGCCTCTTTTACAACTGAGAATAACTGATAGACAGTTGCATCTTGAGGACTACTCAGAAATCCCTATATTGGTGCTCACCTTACAGGAAAGGGCAGAGCAAGGGAGGGGAAAAAATTCACATAATGAGTTTCTGCTGGTTGTTTTTTTTTCCCTGATAAAAGCATTTACAATTTTTTTCAAAGGAGTCTACTTTCTGAATTGTACAAGTACCTCCTTAGAGCTCTTCAAGAATTATTTCCAAACTTTTTTTTCTCATTCTTACTCCCATTCTGCTCTTCTAATGTTAACAAAACTAGATGTTTTCAGCTACATCTGCTTCCTGCCATAAAGGCTCTAGCCACTCATACCTCCAGCTTCTACGAGCACTAATATAACTCCTGCCAATTCATTGGGCCCATTTCAAAAGCAACCCTCTGTTCTAGGGATCGATCTCCACTCAGAATTCATTATTTGTTTAATGGTCCAATAGATGTTTGCTAAGTATCTATTATATGCTATACACTGCACCATGGGGCGGAAAACCAGGTCCTGGTCACACTTACTCTCTCTTGGAAAGTCAGATATTAATCAAAAGCTCACTGACTACATACAAAATCATAAGTGAAATAATAAAGGCTATGGAAGAGAAGTGCAATGAGAAGCATGTAACAGGGGAGATTTCACCTGCACTTAGGCAGCAGATCAAGGTTCCTTTAGGACATGATTAAATCAAGATAGGAAGGAGAAGTGAACAGTATTACCTAGCACAACTGCAGGATGCCTGGTACATGAAGAGTAACTGAAAGGCCTAAGCATGACAGGTCAGAGATCGAGGGAAACAGGGAAGGTTGAGGCTCAGGAGGTCGTAGGGACCATCCCTTCCAGGGCCTTAGAGAGAGGATTCTGATTCGACAGCCGTAAAGAAGCACCTTATTGTGGCTACTGAACAGAATGGACTGTAGGGTGGAGGGAAGGGCAGAGGGTGGGTGTGGGTAGACAGCATATTTAGATTCAGGGTGCAAAGACCAGAGGAGACCCAATGGTTGGCTTAAAGCTGAGGTGAGGAGGTGGGAAGTCTTGTTGACAGAGAAATTAAGAGAGTCAAGAGACATCTGCTTTGGGAGAACATTGGGGAGACTTAGTAACCAACTGGCTATGGGGTATGAGGAGAGGAGGAGCTCAGAGATGTCCAGAATTCCCATTGTGGCCACTGAATGGATAATGGTGACATCTACTGAAACAGGGAGCAGCAGAGAAGACTAAAGATCAGGATTTGGTAGCAGATTGGAAGATCAAGAGTTTAAATAGCAGAGGATGAGGGGGCCTCTGTGAATTCAAAAGGAGATGTCAATCAGGCAACTGAACACATGCATCCTGAACTCTGACTGCAGCTATAAATACATAAGTTATTTGAGTAGGCAGCAACTGCAGTCCTGAGTCTGAATTTCACGGGACAGGCATGATTGACAATTCTGGAGAAATGTGATCCCACAAAAAGCGTAAATGATCTAATACTAATAGACTGAGTGGGGAATACAGCAAGGCCTGTCTGTTCAGACTGTTCTTGGCCTCTCTGGGCAGCATTCCTTTCTCCAGGGTATGGCATAGGACCCCTTCTGAAATGGGGGGTCTTACGACATATAATCAGATAAGATAGGTCAGAGAATTTCTTTATGGTCAGCTCCACACAGAAAGGCTGGGGAAGATTCCTGCCTTGGGGAGAAAAAGGGGTGGGTGAAAGAAGGGCAGGAGAAGGTCAGACAGAGAGATTCCATTTTCTGAGGCCTGCAGCAGCCAACGTTTCAGCTACAGATTGTTGACACCAGCTATGAGAGTTCTGAGCCTGGAACCATGGACGAACTCCTATACATAAATCGTAATATCGCCATTAATATTTCTTGACGGCAAGTCAAGTAGTTTTTATTCACTTCATTTTCCCAAAGACATAAACACATGAAAGTTTCCAACTGTGTCTGTTCTGGTCACAGCCTTCCCAGCAGTGGGAGCCAGGCGACCTTCCTCTCTGTCCCCTGTCCCCAGCAGCGCGACGACAGCGCATAGGACGAGATCTAGGGCGCCGCCCCATCACTCACAGTGACTACCTGACCCTGGGAATCTGCCAGGTCTTTCTGAGCTTCTTCGGAATGGGGAAAATTAAAAGGGGGCACTTATTCTGCATAAACTGCCACAGGGTTAGGATCGCGGGGGCGAAACCGCTACACAAACATCAGGACTGCTCCTGGTGGCCCTAAACAAGGGCTCCGGATCCACCGCAGGGCAGAGGTCACGCAGGGCAGAGGTCACGCAGATGCGGCGGCGTCCGCCCCAGCGCCGCCCCCACCCCGCCGCCCCGCTTGCCCGCGGCCCCCCGGCGGGCCCCGCGCCGCCCAGGCCCACAGCGCCCACTGAACGTGGAGAGAGGGCGGCACTGTACGGTCTCACCTCCAGCTGCAGCGCGTCCTCCTGCTCGCTCGATGCCGGGCGCTTTCCGGGGCTCCGCTCTGAGAGGAGAGGGGCTGCCCGGGTCAGAAAGTTCCAGCTTCTTAAGCCCCATCAATGAGGGGCGTGGCTGGTGTGGGCCCCGCCCCCTGCTGGAGCCCCGCCCCCAGCGGCCCCCTGAGAGGCTTTGGCCTTGCCTGGCCGGGTCCTGACCTGCCTTGGGGCATCAGATGTGACCTCTTCTGTCTCACTTCTGGCTCTTCTGATTTACTTTCTCCTACTTGTCTGTTCTATTCGAATTTTTTTAAAATTCCTTTTCTCTTTATTTTGCCCATTTCTTCCTTCCATTCGTTCACGTTTTCCCATTCCCCTTTCTCCGTTTCTCTCATTTATTCCATACTGTTATTTTGACAAAGCACAGATTAGAGTTGTGAATCCAGTCGTGCAGCTTTATTTGTCAAACTTATACTAGGTAAGCCTATACAGGTTTCTTTCTTTCCTTCCTTCCTTTCTTTTGTTCATTTTTTGGTTTGTTTGTTTTTGATAACTGATAATCCAAAACCAACTACCCCTATTCCCGATATTTCCTTTACATACCATTTATTGAGGACTTATCATGCTTCAGGCAATTCTGTTTTCATATGCATTATTTTACTTAAAGATTGCAACAGTTCCATGAGGAAGGTATGATTAGTTTCATCACACAGATGAGGAAACTGAGGCTCAGAGAAGTTGAGTGATTTTTACTCAAGTCACACAACAAGAGCAAAACGTAAACACTCTAACTCCAGAGTGGGGGGCCCAAAAAAAAAAAACCCAAAAAGAAAGCCCCAAAAACAAAAAAATTCCCCAAACTTCCCCCAGCCCCCTGTCTCTGGCCCCCTCAGTCTCCCCCAAGGCCAGCCATAGAAGCAAGAATTCCTCCTCCCTAAGGCGGATCATAGAAAGAAGAACCCCTCTTCCCCAAAGCCAGCCATAAAACCTGAAAATATTCCTATAACTTTCCCCCTGTCTTTCTGTGTAAAAACTGACCATAAAAAAATTATCTAACCCATCTTTTCTGGTGATAGGTCATAAGACCCCCCATTCCAAAGAGTGTCCAGCCCAATACCCAGAAGGAAGGAATGCTGCACAGAGAGGCCAAGAAGAATCTAAACAAACAGGCATTTCTGGGTTTTTCCACTCATTAGATTATACCCTTTTTGTCCATCATATTTTGACATGGCTATCCGTACTTGGTTGAATCTAAGCATAAAAATGGACTCTTCCACCTGTATCTCTGGGTCTTCATTCTGAAGGCTCCTGGGTCACATAAAACTATGATCACATAAACTTATATCCTTTTCTTTTATTAATCTTCATTTGGTCAGTTGCTTTTTGGGAAAACTTCAGAGTGCAAAAGGGAAGTTTTCCCTTGGCCACTACAAAGGTCCACATAGAATATGTGGCACAATGAAGACGCATTATATGAGGTACCAGGGCTAGTCTACAGTCCCTAAAATAGTTCCTCTTCTTAAAAGGGTGGCATCATGGTGTATATATATCATCATAATACAAAAAGGATTGCACAGATATAAGATCTCCTAGCCATGACAGGACCAGGAAAGTGAGTTATTTGACTCCTTGGTTATGAAGTGATTATATCCCTTAGTTTAATCAAAAGAAGATATTAAGGCAGTAGAATGATGCCCTGTGACCATGATACTCCTCCAAACCGTCTGTAGCCTTATTTACTCCATTCCAGCCCCCCTCTCCCAATCCCCTGCCTGAAACGCTGAGGGTGTCTACACCACCACTTATCTTTTGGTCTCTTCTCTCTAGCCTTCTGTCAAGTCGGCCACGTTTGCCCTTGGTACTCCCTGAACTGCTCTATACAGGCTTCTCCCTAGGCTGACCTAAATTCTACCTTTTATTCATGGTCTGGCTCAGGCCTCTTCCCTTTGAGAAGCCTCCTTAACCACTAGGACCTCACTAATCTCATCTCCTTGCATTCTGCCAATACTTGCTTGTACACCAGTATTGGATCTTGCTTCTGTCATGTGCTACTCCACTTTCTGCAAATATCAAACTCTGGGGACAGTATGAGAGTGAAGAGCATAAAATTTGGCATCTACTAGGAGCATAATACAAATATGATTCTATTATTAACATAATGATTTTCCCTTTAAAAAAAGTTGTCACCAACATGTTGCAAATGAAACAATTCTCAAAGATGAATGACATAAACTGTGAACCCAATTCTCACACCTCACAAAGAGCAAAAAATTTGTCTTTATTGTTTTAAAGAATGATGCCTTAGGTGTCTGATTTGGATATCACTATTTGCCTATCAAACGATATTTTTGTTTGCTTGATTTAAAAACCAAGCCTTCACGCATGAGTTTTTTGGTTCTTCATTGTGAATCATCTTAAAATAAACATCTTGCCCATTGCATGCTGGCAAAATGTTGATTGTAACCACAGTGAATTTTCCAGACATGTGCAGAAATGTCATCAGTCATCTTTAAATCTTCTGTAAATGATCATGGTCCCACTGATTTGGCAAAGCTGCTAAATTAATGTAATCAATTTGAAGTAAGCTAGATAAAAGAACAAATATCTATTTTTTCAAGTTAAAACCATTTCCAACTTCCTTTGTCAAATGTGCAGGAAGTCCAGTTTTTTTCTAGAGGACTCAACTGCTATTTCACAATAGTTCTCAGGTAACCCAATTTTCTTCAGTTCAAAGAGGCCATTCTGCTTCCAAATGCCTTAATGAAAGGAAAGAGAAAACTCTGCCAGTGCACAGGGAAGTCTGGTGTTCAGATGTGGTCATGGCCATGCTGCAAAACAGGTCCCACACAATCTGAAGGATCTTTTGTCCAGTGCTGTGAAAGTAGTTCAGGAGGCTGCAGAGACCTCAGCACCTGATGCATCGGTCTTGGGTTCCCAAAGGAGCAGTTTTTAAAACTATACTCACATCTATAGCCATTGCTCTTAATCCCAAAGAACATCTTCTGTGCCAAGGTATTTGTGGGAGGCAGGGGACAAGTTCTGGTCTCAGCCACATACTGTACAAGGGCAAAATCTGCTTCCTGGCATGATATCTAGCATATCTCCATTGCATCCTTCCCTAATGGCAAGTTCCTTCTTGGAGACCTTCATATCCTGTCCTGTCAGCTGACTCCCATCTATGAGAAGGTTCTGATTAGGCTACACCTCAAAATAGGATAAGTGAGATCCAATTCCCCAGACACCTCCCCAGACACCTGACTGCACAGGAGGGAGTTCTGGGGAAGGATGGCGTTTGTCAAGCCACAAAGTGCTCAGGTCCTTCTTTTCCATGGGCAACTGGACCTAATTGCCCTGTATTTGTATAATAAAGAGCGACTACCACAGGAATCCCTTCTCTAGAAATTGTGGACATCTTTCTAACTTTACTTAGCTTTTGGAATAGACTTCTTTAAATGACAAATCTTTTCACTAAAAAAATTTCAGGTTCCACATGCAAAGACTTTCTTAGTTAATAGTTAATTGTTGAAGTGAATTTTTATTAAAAATGAACAAATTTACATATGAAATGTGCAGGTGCTCAGAAGTGAAGAGTCCAGGACATCTAATAAGATTTTGTGCTTTGATAAAACATAAATTGGAGTTGCAGACTTTGGTTCTGACATGCCCCTGTAATGGCAATACCTTTCAAAGGTATGAGAATATATATCATATACTTGCTGTCCTTGGAACAGTGTATCACAGACTCATCCCTCTTAAGGGCTAGAAAGAAACTTAAAAAAAAAAAACTGGCCTGAACAGTCTACCTCTGGATCTTTTGTCTAAACACTCATGACTATGTAAAATAGTTGGGGTGAACTCAACTGACTAGGAAGTCTGATTTATGACTCTCCTTCTTTCAAAATTAGTAAATAAATAAATAGCCTGGGTGACTTCATTCCCCTTTAAATTTTCAGACAATTTTACTATGCAGAATATATCTTCCCTGATACATCTATAAAATAAATAAGATATATTCCAACTCATCCATGCACTTTCAACTGCTTCATAAGTTATAACATCATTCAACTATGCATAGAGTAACAATAATGATAGAACTTACTATGTGTTAGGATTTTTTTGGAGGACATTGCTCATCTTAATATATTTAATCTTCACAACAATACTGTGAAATAGGTGCTGTCATGACCCCCACTTTGCACATGAATTTGGGCATATAGAGATTAAGTAACTTGACCAATGTTGTCGCCCAGCTGGTAAATTGACAGAGCCCTGGCATAGCTGGCTCCAGAGCATATGATCCTGACCTTTATAAATATTACTGATTAATTAATTCAATAAATGTTGAATGAGCCCCTACTCTGTTCAATACATTGTACAAAGATTGTGGGGTTTTCAAAAATAGTATGCAGTCCTTGCCCTCGTTTGCTTGTTGCCCTAATTAGAATGCAAAAGCAATGTGGTTATTCTCATCTACCTGAACTTTCTTCTCTTTACCCAACCCCCCTATCCATGGTGCTAGATCCTAGGATTTTTAAACACAGATCACAGATTTACAGAATTAAGCAAAATCTTAAACCCCAGTTGAATTTCTTTATTTTATGGATCTGAAAACTCAAGTGCAGAGAAGTGACTTGTTTGAGGTCACAAAGTTAATAATAAAATACAGCTAGAAAGGTAGTCTGCTGTTCCTAAGTAGTAAAATATGTTTATTAAAATATGTGTAAATTAGGCTGGGCATGGTGGCTCACACCTATAATCCTAGCACTTTGGGGGGCTGAGGTAGAAGGGTCACATGAGGTCTAGAGTTTGAAACCAGTCTGAGCAAGAGTGAGACCCTGTCTCTACAAAAAATAGAAAAATTAGCCGATAGGGTAGCACACACCTGTAGATACAGCTACTCTAAGCTGAGGCAGGAGGATCACTTGAGCCCAGGAGTTTGAGGTTGCGGTGAGCTATGATGATGCTACCTCATTCCAACTTATGCAACAGAGAGAGAGACCCTGTCTCAAAAAAAGAATGATGCAAGTTAAATTTGTACAAATTTAATTCTATTTTATATGCCTAAGTGGAGATTTATGTTTGAAGGTGTAAAATATTCCACAAAGGCAATTATCATTTT